AAGAATGTGCACAATTTATAGTTACATGCTTTTAAGAGAGTGGTGGGTGGGTTTCCTGTGATTGCTCATCCTAACCACTGGTTGCCTGTTCACAATCAGAAATGCGTGGCTTTCTGCATTAATAAAGACGGCCGTCACTACAGCTATCTCTCTAAAGCGGAGTACACCTCTAGTCTATGAAGCTACCACAGGATCTGCTGAGACTCACTGAGAAAAGTGCTTTTCCTCTCATGTCTGGACAAGGCAGTTCTTGGTTTCTGTGAGGAGCTTCAGGCTGCCATGGCAACTCCCAGTCCTTTCTTTACTCTCTCTGTGTGCTATTCTACCAGGAGAGGTAGAAAGCTGTAATCTTTTCCACTTCTCTTTCGCTCCTCCCCTTTCTTCTGTACTTGGTCTAGGATGGCAAGAGTTTAACACTAAATTCTGCTTGTGATTATTAATTCCTTGTGAGTCTGGTTCTGTGCAAACTGCAATGGTAAGACAAAAATCACCTGGATTCTAGTTTTTTCCCTAGAAAGAGGATGTCAACTCTTAATCAGAACAACACATAGTTCTAGCCCCGGCTCTTCTAGTCAAAAAGGAGAATGGGAGAAAAGGAGTCTATATGGTGGAGAGAAACTAACTGGGTAAACATCAAGTACTAGGATGAGCTTACTGGTATGCATAATCCATTTCAATTCAAAATGGATGGGGTCATAGGAGACCCTACAGTATAAGTTCTCAAACAGGTCTGTATGTTAGAATCTACATCACAGGCTTTTAGAAACACAGATACTTTACTCCAAACCACACCAGGTCCAAACAGGAGGTGACCCTGTATGGTCAGCCCCAGAAAAACCAGAACAACAAAGTGCCTGGAATGAAATTCTTTGAGAGAGAAAAAGCAAACAAAGGCTGGTAGGAAAAACTAAAGTAGGATGTCAGGACAGAGAAAAAGGGAGTGGATTGTTTTACCAGTATCATAAAATCAAGAGGTAAGATGCCAAAAGTAGAATAAAAAGTGAATGAGGCCTTCAAACTGAGTTAGAATGTCGATATCAATATTGTACATACCACATACCCCAATACTGAGGCTTACTTGTTCCTCTCTCTAATGCTGCAGTGTTTTTAATTGTATTATATAATGTGCTGCTTTTTGAACTGCAATTTACTCATTAATTTGTTTAAATCCCAAGGGGCTAATACTGCCTTACAAAGAGAAGATTGTCAAAAAAAGGTTGAATGAGATATTTAATAATCAATGCTTTTGGTGCTCTACATGATAATGTGGCAACAACTGAAGGTCAAAAGTCCAAAATATTTGCAGAAAATGAAAAAACCCAACCCTAATCCTTGTCATGCAGGAATGAGATGCCTCTATACATTCTTATTAAAACCAACATGCCCACTTCTGGAAGATACTGACTATATTTGGGTTACTGTTTTGGAGACCTGAAGTCAACATTAACTTTCTTTCATTCTATCAAGAGTATCAGTAGTAACTAGAGGTATCAGTGACTTGATAATTTTATAGTAAATAATGTGCAATCGTTATTCCAATTTTAAATTCATTCAGTCATTCAACAAACATTTTATTTGAGCAAGGGACTGTGCTGGTTGCAGTGAGCCGAGATCATGCCATTGCACTACAGCCTGGGCAACAGAGACTCTGTCTCAAAAAACAAACAAACAAACAAACATTTGGGGTTAAAATGATCATCGTGTTTGTGTGTGTTGCGGATAGACTGTGATTTTTATGACCTTTTTTTAAGTGAGAAAGTATCATATATGATATATGTGAATGTAAACATAAATATTTATGGATATTAATTTATAACAAATATAGCTCACAGGAGGTGGTATATGTCAAGTAGTGTGAAGGATTCATGATTTTGCCCTACTTGCAAAATAATATGTTAGTCCACATAGTTTTATGGATGCTGACAGAAGATATGAAACTCCTGGTTCAGAGACAAAGGACTTTACTACTGACAGCACAGCAGGTAGCATGAGATTCATGTTTGTGTCAGCTCCTCATGCTCTCTAAGACTCTCAACGGTGACATAGGTAGCTTTAGATGAATGCTGTGGGTTAAACATAGTTGGTTTTTGTCAAAGCTGAGGAAATCCGAGCTTAGAACACCACAACTTTTTTATAGTGGGCTGCAAGCGAATCTACCCAATGTTTGCCCTAAAGGGAGGCTGTATTAGTCTGTTCTTATGCTGCTAATAAAGACAGACCTGATATTGGGTAATTTATACAAAAAAAGAGCTTTAATGGACTCACAGTTCCACATGGCAGGGGAGGACTTATAATCATGATAGAAAGCAAAGGAGAAAGATACATTTCACATGATAGCAGGCAAGAGAGCATGTTCAGGGGATCTGCCCTTTATAAAACCATCAGATCTCATGAGACTTATTCACTACCACAAGAACAGTAGTGGAAAACCACCTGCATAATTCAGTTATCTCCACTTGGCCCTGTCCTTGACATTTGTGGATTATTACAATTCAAGGTGAGATTGGGGTGGGGAACAAATGATATCATTCTGCACCTGACCCCTCCCAAATCTCATGTCCTCACATTTAAAAACCAGGCATGCCTTCCCAACAGTCCCCCAAAGTCATAAATCATTTCAGTATTAACTAAAAGGCCATAGTCCAGCCTCATCTTAGACAAGGTTAAGTCCCTTCCACTATGACCCTGTAAAATTTAAAACAAGTTAGTTACTTCTTAGATACAATGGAAGCACAGGCATTGGGTAAATACAGTCATTCCAAATGGAAGAAATTGACCAAAACAAAGGGGCTACAGGTGCCATGCAAGTCCAAAATCTAATAAGGCAGTCATTAAACCTTAAAGTTCCAAAATGATCTCCTTTGACTCCATGTCTCACGTCCAGGTCATGCTGGTGGGCTTCCATGACCTTGGGCACCTCCACCCCTGTGGCTTTGCAGGGTACACCCCTCACATTCCCTTGCTCCCTGGCTGCTTTCACAGGCTGGCACTGAGTGTCTGGAGCTTTTCCAGGTGCAAGGCGCAAGCTGTCAGTGGATCTATAATTCTGGGATCTGGAGGATGGTGGCCCTCTTCTCATAGCTCTACTGGGCAGTGCCCCAGGAGGGACTCAGTATGGAGTTACAACCTCACATTTCCCTTCTACACTGCCCTAGTAGAGGTTTTCCCTAAGGGATCCACCCCTGCAGCACACCTCTGCCTGAACATCCAGGTTTTTCTATATATACTCTAAAATCTAGGCAGAGGTTCCCAAAACTCAATTCCTGTCTTCTGCATACCCACAGAACCAACACCACATAAAAGCTGCCAAGGCTTGAGGTTTGCACCCTCTGAAGCCGTGGCCTGAGTTGTATGTTGGCTCCTTTTAGCCATGGCTGGAGCAGCTGGGATGCAGAGCACCAAGTCTCAAGGCTGCACACAGCAGGGGGACCCTGGACTCAGTCCAGGAATTCATATTTTCCTCCTAGCCCTCTGGGACTGTGATGGGAGGGCCTGCTGTGAAGGTCTCTGACTTGTCCTGGAGACATTCTCCCCATTGTCTTGGTGATTAAAATTCCATTCCTTGTAACTTATGCAAATTTCTGCAGCTGGCTTGAATCTCTCCCCAGAAAATGGGTTTTTCTTTTCTACTGAATCATCAGGCTGCAAATTTTTAAAACTTTTATGCTCTGCTTTCTCTTGAATGCTTTGCCACTTAGAATTTTCTTCTGCCAGATATCCTAAATCATCTCTCTCAAGTTTGAAGATCCATACATCTCTAGGGTAAGGGCAAAATGCTACCAGGTGCTTTGCATAGCAAGAGTCATCTTTACTCTAGTTCCCAACAAGTTCCTCATCTCCATGTAAGACTACCTCAGACTGGACTTTATATTCCATATCACTATCAGCATTTTGGTCAAAGCCATTCAACCATTCTCTAGGAAGTTCCAGACTTTCTCACAACTTCCTGTCTCCTGAGTCCTCCAAGTCTGTAGGAAGTTCCAAACTTTCCCACATTTTCCTGTCTTCTTCTGAGCTCTCCAAACTGTTCTACCCTCTGCCTGTTACTCAGTTCCAAATTCACTTCCACATTTTTGGATATCTTTAAAGCAGCACCCCACTCTACCAGTACAAATTTACTGTATTATTCTATTCTCAGACTGCTAATAAAGACATACCTGAGACTGAGTAATTTATAAAGAACAAGGGTTTAATGGACTCACCATTTCACATGGCTGGGGAGGCCTCATGATCATGGCACAATGCAAAGGAGGAGAAAGGCACATCTTACATGGTTGCAGGCAGGAGAGTTTGTGCAGCGGAACTCCGCCTTATAAAACCATTAGATCTCTTGAGACTTATTCACTACCATGAGAACGGTATGGGGGAAACCACCCCTATGATTCAATTATCTCTACCTGGCCCTGCCCTTGACACATGGGGATTATTACAATTCAAGGTGAGATTTGGGTTGTGACACAGACAAACCATATCAGAGGCATTATTTTATTATAACGGACAGCAAACAATTTTGCTCTTTGCTCGGGAGCAAGACACTGTGTTTTCCAAGGCTGTTTGCTATATAAACATCCTTGAAAAAGATAGTCTAGAACAAAAATCTATCAGTTCTTCTGCTCTCAAGATGTACAGTAACTCAAGGGATTCATGGAGAACTATTTTCCAATAGTATAATGATACAGGAGTGTTCACTTTGATGTGTAAAGAAGAGGACAATTAAAAGGAAGAGGAAATTGAGAAAAGCAGATACCAAAAAATAAACACAGCAAAAATAAGAAATCCTAGGTCTAATTAAGCAAGAGCAGGAGCTAGAGAAATGCAGGCAGAATGGTTGACCTATGCTTAAATCATGGAGAGAAAATAACTCAAAGGCTTTCTGTGGGAAACAGAAAATATAAGAAACTTTTTAGAGAATATAGAGATTATCTGAAAGGGCATCCTCAGGTTGCAGTGGCAGCTTGAAAGGACGTTATTTTTTCTAAAATTATGTTGCTAAGAAATAGTACCTAGCAAATCTGGGAATAAATTAGGGTAAAGGTAAAAAGAAAATTCAAGTTTATCTATGTGGCTATTACAAAGATAGAGGCTAACACTGCTATTCTCTGCTTGTAATGTGACGACTTACAGAAAATGGGGGTGGTGGATGATCACCACTGTCCAGCTTTTTGGAGAAATTTCAAACTGGATCCTTTTAATCCTACCCAGTTTTATGATCTTGAGAATTTCCCTTTTATGTCATTATAGCTCTTCTGTTTGAGGGGCTAATGGGTGTTCTAACGTATTGAAAGCGGGGAGGAATTATTATACGAGGGTAATAGTAGTTTTAACATAACTCAAAAACCTTAGGGGCTTAACCCAATAAAGTTCATTTGTCATTCACAAAATCCATTTCTAATGCCTCTAGTCAGGGGATATTTTAGTCAGTTTTGCTGCATTCATATAGAAACCCCAAATCCTAGAGGCTTACAACAGACTACATTATATAGTGGTGGCTGCAGATGTTTTGTCTCTGCTTTATTCCATTTGGCTCTGCTCCAAGTGTCTTTTTATTCCTGGGTCCAGAATAAAGAAGAAATATCTCTGTGAGATCTGCCATTTTCATAGGAGGAGGCAGGAGCAAAAGAACTGGCAGACTTTCACAGTGCCTTCCAAAGCTTCTGGAAGGTGATAGCATGTATCATGTATGCTCACATTGTATTAGCTCAAGCGCATCATACAGCTGAGCTTGATATCAGTAGGCTGGGGTTCTTCCAGGGAAGTGAATATACTTGTAAGCTATAATATAACTTATATTGGGTTGTTGTCTTGGAAAATATTTCTTCAAACTGTCACCCAGGGATCTTTCCTCCACCTTAGGGTGAAACAATTGTCTAGGGTCTCTCTGAGAAAAAAGATAAAAGTAGTGAGTAGGAAACCTTCTAGAAAACAATAGACATGAGGTACATGAATGGGCAGGGGGAGGAAGAGTCCTAATCCAAAAGGAAGTTCAAAAAATATATATATGAAAGGAGAGAAGAGGTACCGGTGAAAACATGGCTTAGCATTTGATGACCATTACCATGCTGTGCTGGGGGTTGGGCCACTCAAGACACTAGGGAATTTTTCTGAACATTAGATAGGAAGGAGGAACTTGCAGTATGTTTTTCTGTTTCTAACAGTTCACCAGCTACTCCAGGCAAGATTGAGTAGACAGAGTTCCTTTCCCTTTCCTCAAGTCGTTCAGTGAGGATCTCTTAGTTGAAGACCATCCTTCTAGTTCCCTCAACTGCATGGGCAGGTACACCTGTTTCCTTTACTCTGTAATCCCGAGTGATTCTGCTCTTAAATGAACTTTTATCTTTATATTTACTAAATGGCTAGGGCTGCCAGAGTAGAGATGGAAAAGTAAGGAAACACAGTAAGCCAGGGAATCACAGTTTCTGAAAAAAGAATTTCCTCTTTATTTTTAGATAGAAGCAATAGAAGAAGCTAAATTGAAGGCAAGTGATAGGCAGAAGGCACCTGGGGAAAACATCAGTCTTTTAGGTTACTCTTTCTCTGGACTGGAGTTCTACGTTCTAATTCATTATATGGGTAAAAAAGCGGAATGTGTAGCTAGATTAAGATTCAAATATGCAACAGGATCTTGAGGAAATTCTTTACTCACCAGAGTCCCATTTTTATTTGCTCCCCAGTCCCTAATGAACTTCCAGCATCCTATGATTATACTCCAAGCATACAAAGGTTCATTATTCATCTATTTATTTGTTTATTAAGCTCACTTCAACATCCCAGCTTAAAATTGAGAGCCCAAAGCTGTTTAAACATCTCCATTATGCTAGTAAAATCACAGTGCTTTCAGGAACCACAGGGAAAGCTACATGCAATTGGACCTGGCACTTTAACTGAAATTATATGTGTGCATCAATGAATAAAAGAACGCCATGGTGACTAAAAGCATTGCTCATCATGTTCCCTCAATTCTTCATACCTTTTCTCCAAAAATTACTCTGTTGATTCTTTGGCTATTTAAATGTCATTGCTATTCTAGCCATAAATGAGTTTTTGACATTCTGAATAAACGGTTGGCTTGTATGCTCCAAATGGGAGAGGGAATGTCAAGAAGATGCTCCTGAGAGTGACAGAGGCCATGGGAGGACATGGTACATGAGACCATCTGAGTCATTTTTGTGAAAGGGTTGGAAGCAGCAGCTTTATCTCTATTGTAATGGATAAACTCCAGATCTCAATGGCTTTGTAGAAGGGCATAAAATCCAAATGGCTGCAGGGAGGGACCCTCTTGTTTGGTAGGCTGCCTTATGAGTAGTTCATATAAGGTGACCTAGACTCTATCTGTCTTGGGGCATTTTCCATCTCTAGAGTCCCAGGTTCCTCCACATTCAGTCTATGGATGAGGAAAGAGACAGTAGGTGATCCTGAGCCAGGCCTGGAAAATGGCATCAACCACTTCTTTCCATATTCAATTGGCCACAACTCACTGCACGACCCACCTAACTGGAGGTAGGGGATGTCTGGGAAACATAATTTAGGTGAATGATCAAAATAAGTTGGATAGGAATGTAATGAACAGGACAGTTTTTGAAACCAGTCCTAAAATTAAGAATGCATTCTTACTTTGGTTCTTTAGTGTTTATAAATTATTGCTGAACACCTTTTCTTCGAACTTTCTGGGTAAAGCTGCTGCCTGAAGATTCTACAGTGCTTACAGACCCTGACAGCCAGGTCTGTCTCCTACTCACTCACCCCTGTCCCCTGCCCAACATGGTACAGGTATTGCTGGTGACAGTGAAGTGTTTCTTTGAGTGGATGGGGGCAGTCAACCTATTATAAAATGTTGCTTGGGCCTCTGAATTTATAATAGTACCACTGTCCGCTTTTCTAGCTTCATCCACTTCCGTGGTATTCTAGAGCTAATTTCTTTCTGTTTTCTAACCCTACAGTTGTCAGCTTATTTTGAACACCAGTGCCCATCCTCAGGATTTCCTGACCCTCTATGGGCAAGACTACATTCCCGTTTGAGGATATAAAATAGGTTTAAAAATAGTATTTCTGTCTCCACCTATAATTTTTAAGAGAACAAATATAGGAATATTCTTGTGTGAGATAAAATTGATGTTTATCCTTTGCCCCAAGCTTCCCCTTTATTTTTAATTACTTCCTTCCTCCCACTGTTTTCCAGACTATCTGAACTGTATCAGTCCCAGGCACATGGGAAAGTGGATACCACCGGGTGGCTATTGTCAGTCAGGAAACAGCTACCATTCAAACACTGTTTGCTAATGATCATATTTGATATGATAAAGTGGATATGAATATTAAATTTGAACTATCTAGGCACCATCTCAGATTTTTAAAACAGGCATGAGAACTGACAGCTTTGAATAAACCTCTTTCTTTCTATTTTCTGTTATTCTGACATATTCACATTCCACTAAACAAGAGTGAACACCACCACCCACCCACTCACCAGGCGTTCACTTTATATATAGCTATAGATATTCAATGCTAAACAAAGAATAAATGGATTCATGTAACATAGCATTTGTGGGGGGGGGGGTTTGAGGAAAGCAGGGGCTTAAACTTGTGTGTTTAATTTTTGGTCCTGGTCTTGGTTCTACAAAGTTCTCTTAGCTAAGGCACTATACATGCTTGCATTTTGGCTACTTGTTCATTCATTCATTCACTCGTGCATTCAATATTTACTGTTTACTTTATGAATACCTGGGGCTATGCTAAGTTCTAGCATCCTAGGATGCAAATTGGAATGATATTGTTCTTGCATAAAAAGCTCAAAGTTTCATGGGTACTATTATAGAAGCATACAATAGTAACTGTTTTGTCTGGGGAAGAAGGAGAGTGCTGAGTGTTTGTAGCCCTGAATGGTTCTTTAAAGATGTGGTATTATCCAGCCAGGAGACTTTATTTTACATGCTTTTGTACTGAGTGCTCATCATGGTCTGGCCACACTGGGAAACTATAAATGTGATGAGAGCTAAAGCTGCAGAGGTTTTAGGCTTTGAAGTTTCAGAAGGCCTTAGATATTGTATATGGATTTTGGCCTTCATATCTGAAGATTTTGTGAGTAGAGAGTCATAGGATGGTTTCTTGGAACTACTTTCTTACTCACGGTCATGGTGGGGAACATAAAAGAATTACATAGATTCAGAGATTATGTCAGTATTTGGCAACTCTTTTATTTGTTCATTCTTGGGTCCTTAACTTTATAAAATGAGACATTTCAAATAGTCAGGGTTATTCACTTCTATTTGTGTTCTCACCCTGAAGACATTCCACATTTTAATTACGGTGAGAGAAAACATTACACTTAGCTGAAAGTTCTATTCTCCATTTTTTTTCACTCCTTGGGTATCCTGAAGTCTCTGAAATCAAAGCGCTTAGTGCTTAATTTGAGACATCTGGGAAATATAGCCCCCCGGAAAAGAGATAGGATGTCAAGGCATGTGCCTTGGATTCTCTGTAGACATCAAAATGTAGAACATGAAAAGGGAAGTCGTGGAAGGTCTTCACTTTGCATGCTTCCAAGAGTGTGGGCCTAGCATTTTAAATAGGTTACACTTGGTTCCAACCACAGTGGGACTCCCTGATTGCTTTCAAGTTCTAGTTATAACTTACTGACTTCAACCACTGACCACCAACCACTCTCATCTCAAGAAATTCTTGCTCAATAGTCGCCTAATTCTTGCCTAGATAAGTTAGTCTTTAGGATGGATATGTTTTACACACAACATCTGAAATACAATAAAATTTGCTGTGACCCGCTAAGAATGCCCACTCTCTTCTCCTTTCCCTGCTACCTTCACTCAGATGCTCCAGTAGTCCTGAAAAAAATTAAAGCTTACAGCACAGCCTAGCATGGACCTGTTTTCCTTGCTGTCCACAAAAGGTCCATGATCTGCTCTCAAACCCCCAAGTCCTACAGCGATATTGGGCCTGGAGGACCTTCCCTGTCACATTCCCATTGTGGGTGTTCTGAACTATACCAGTGAGAACTGGCTGGGTTGGTTTCCTCTCAGAAGATGTCAGAATCCACTGTCCTCAGCAGCTGTCCAACAGCCTGTAGCCAAGTACAACAGCAGCTGACTCCAAGAGAGCCTAAATACCTGTGTTCAAGGCCTTTCATTCTTTTACTTTTGTTTCATACCAGTTCCTATGGATAGGTGGGTGGAAGGAAATATTTTGCAGGAAATAGCCACACTTTATTCTTTTCCTTTACCTTGAGTAGTCTTTAACCATTTCGGGGACTGTTCAGTTTTTAACAGAGTTTCTCTAGAATGGAAAGTTCACTGAGAAACCCCAGACCACACTAATGCCAGGTAGAATTATTAACAATTCTCATGTTTAAAGCTCCTTGTGCTAATATTCTCTGAGCCAGTTCTCCAGTGCAAGGGTATATGCAGGTAATCTCTTACTAACCTCACAGGCATTCCAGAGGGTGACTTACCCAGCTTTTCAGTTCTCTTGTTCAAAGATTTGTTCAACAATACTTAGACATTAAGAACAAAGACCAAAATGTTAATTCAGTTTTGGAAAGTTGATGACCTCAACCCCTGGGAGTGGGAGGCTAGTGGCTCTGAGACATGTCATTTGCCTTCAGGACTTCTTAACCTCATGAATCTGGTATTTTTGAAGCATTATAATGCTATTCCCTAGTTAAGGTTTACATGATTACTCACTAGCACCCTCATGAAATCTCAACTTGCTAATTGCAATAAGGTGCTTTTCCCTGACTATATTTACTACATCATCTAAGGTCGAGGGCTCTCCTATAAATATGAAGTCATCCTTTTTTAAGATGAATGAAGAGGGATGGATTTGTGGGTCATGTTTCATGACCCTCTTAGGGAAACAATTAGGGTCAACAGACTGGGGTACCTTATAAAAATCACATCAAAATCACTATCCTGCTCTTATATTAGCCACAAGAAACATATTTCTTGTATGATTCTAATTATGAGCTTATGATGCCTGCTATCTACTAGTCTTAATCATAAATTGAAGATTACACTGACATCTGAAGCACCAAGGAAGAGTTTCTTTCTGTCCTTTTAAACCATTCTGTTGGGAATAAAGTCTTATATAGTATTAAGAGTGGTGTGGAAAAAAATACTTTGTTCTATCTGTGCTAGTGTGCCTGTGATGTAACTTAAGCCTCAGCCAGACTAACATGTAAGATTATGATGAATGGTGGCTACCTAAAATAACATTATCCATCTCCTACCTGTCCAGCTCAGGCTCCTCACAGCTACTCCCAAGCCAAAACTCCTTGCAAATTCCTTGACTAGTATCCAGGGGCTATTACTGGAGTTAGGGCTGTCCCAGAAGATGCTGCAAAGAAAAGTTCTGGGTGCAGATGATGAGGCAGATCCACTCTTAACCTGAAGACCCTCCCATAGGAAGACGGTCTTTTTGTGGAAAGAATTCTAATTCAACAAGGTTTTTAGGGGTTTCCACAGTGCCTTTCATAGCAACTCATCAACTTCAAGGCTCTTCTATCTCTTTTTAACAATGTTTATGCATGTTATAAACAAATAATTTTTTAACACCCGGTATATGGAAGATATCATTCTAGACCAATGGTTCTCAAACATTAACTTGCACCAGAATTGCCTGGGGGGCTTCTTAAAACACAAGTTGCCAGAATCTTGTTGCCAGAATCTCTAATTCAGTAGATGGGGGTAGTACCCAGTAATTTGTGTTTATGACAAGTTCCCAAGTAATAAACATGCTGGTCTGGAGCATGCCTTGAGAACCACTGTTCTAGCTACTACAAAGAAAGGAAAAAGATACACACAGAGAGATTGCTATTCTCCTAAAAATGACATTCTTTTCTATTCTGTCACAATAGCTATCTTGGTGGATTAAAACTATAAACAGTCCAAACCATTGGCATGAGAAAAATTGGCTTTCTTTTTCTTCAGTGTAGGAGGGACTGTATCTTCACAAAGCATAATTGCTTGGTCTCCATTTCCTAGGAGATGAAATGGTTTCATCCTTTCCTACAGAGTGGGTCAAATCACTTTTTATAGTGGTATCAAGCAAAAGGGAAAACAAATTTAATCATCATTTTAAAAACAGATAAACATTTCCTTTTACATGAGTTTTGCAAAGAATTCTATTGTGAAGAGTGGATTGGAAGAAATAAGAAGAAAGATGGGAAAATAAATTAGGAGACAATTATAGTAAGCTTGATGAATAAAAGAACAAATTCTGAGATAATACAATAATAATGCAGATTGGTATTGGGATGTAGGGGCAGATAAAAGAGGGTATAGAAGTTGAAGCAACTAGACTTGGAGCTTATCTAAACTATGATGTGAACATGAGGATGATATCAGCAGTGATTCCTAGATTTTTGTCCAGGAAGTCAGTCACTGACATAACCATTCACTAATTACTAAAATCAGTAGTACTTGAAGGAAAACAAAATTGGGGAGAAGAAAGTGAATTCAGCTTTAGAGATTCCTTAGGACTTCCACGTGGAAAAGCTCTATTGGGTAGTTGTAGTTAAAGAAGTAGAGATCAGGGTGAGTTCTAGGCTGCAGAACCACAGTTTAGACACAATCGTTTCAGAATATAAGTAGCAGGGGGACACCCAGGATTAGAAAGGCAAGGTCATAATTGTGACACATCAGTCCTAAATGAGTGGACAAAAGAAAATAATTCCACAGAGAAGACTGGAAAGAAATATCATAGAAGGGGAACCAGAAGGAAAAATTTCAGAAGCCAAAGAGAAGCTTTTTTTCTTTTTTTTTTTTTTTGAGAAAGAGTCTCACTCTGTCACCAGGCTGGAGTGCAGTTGTGTGATCTTGGCTCACTGCAACCTCCACCTCCCGGGTCCAAGTGAATCTCCTATCTATCTGTAAAAAGACAAATAAGTCATCTCTAACTTTTTAAAGAAGTAGGAGGCAAAGTTGTTTCCTGAGATGGAAAGGAGACTCAATAAACGGTTTGTATGGCAAAAAGAGGTTTGGAGAAATCACTGTGAGAAGTGATTCTGCCAGGGACACATGACAAAATTCAGAGTAGTGCTGAGAACCTGTGATGGCCCTAGCCCATAAATATGTAATGATATCTTAGTCTCAACAGCATTCAATAGTCCAAATGAGGAGTGGAGATGCAAAATTGAGGGATAATTCAACGGGTGATTTGCATCATCAGAATGACCACAGAGGTAGGAAATTGAGAATGCTGGCAAAAAAAGGAACTAAATCATGGACTATGGAGTCTAGAATATTCCAAAAGTAAACAAAACCATGGATGGAATGATGGACTCAGAGAAAAGGCAGGGTTCAAACTGTTGGAAAGTGAGAAGCTAAGAATTTAAGAGATAAGAATAATGTTCTGTAGCTGGTCCATTTATTTACTTTATATTTCTATAACATGGTTTAAGTATTATCTAATATTAATTTATTGAATCCATACAACAACCATATGAATAATTATAATTATACTGCAAAATATAGATACCTCAACTTACAAATAAATTAGAATTGTACCCCAATTAAATCTGATGTGCGAGAAATGTAGTTGCCTATGGTCACACAGAAATCCATGGTAGAGCCTGGATTTAAACCCAGGTAATTTAGCCATAGAGGTTGTAACCAAGACTTCATGTTGCTTCCCCATTGACATCTTAGATTTTAGAGTTGCTCTAGGCCAACATTTTCAATCTGGCTGCACTTTGGATTTTTTAGCCAGGCTGCTCTCAGAATTAAGAATCTCTGGGAAGGGAGTCCAGGAAGCAGTGTATTATAAAGCTCCCCTGGTGACTGCAATGCATAGACTAAGTTGAGAACACTAATCTAAACCTAAATGAAGAGGCATCACAGGATCAAGATGACCATATTGATGGATAAATCAAAGTGGAGGAAACCAGAGTTGAAACACGAACAGGAAAATGCTAGTATCCAGGTAGGATCTAGTAGAATTCAGAACCTCTAAGGACAATTCAATTGTATACTAATTAAGCACTGGAAGTAAGACAAAAATCAAAATGATAATATCCCTAGAGAATAGTGATGAAATTAATGCCCTGTAGAAGAAAAACTTCAGCCAAATTACATTTAAAGGAGTTTAATCGAGCAATGAACGATTTGTGAATCAGGCAGTCCCCAGCCAGAGTAAGCTCAGAGACTCCAATGCAGCCACGTGGTGGAAGAAGATTTATGGAGAGAAAAAGGAAAGTGATGTACAGAAAACAGAATCGAGATACAGAAACAAGTGGATTGGGTACAGCTCACTGTTTGCCTTATTTGAACACGGTTGGCCACAACTCAGGGACTGGCACAAGTGTAGGCTATGGTCTATTTATACCTCCACTTGTTACAGTTCATGTTGTACAGAAAACCTTTAGGCTGAACTTAAAATATGCAAGAAGGCAGTTTAGGCTTGGTCATCTTCTAAAATTTGAGAGATTACCAAAACGTTAGTCATTGATGTCACTATCACCATTGGTTTTGAAACCCACTGGGAAACAGTAGAACAGTGAGCTTTGCAAGATGGGAACAAGGACTGAGTAGAGGTTCACCTCCTTATGCTGGAGTGGTCTGTTTACAGGAGAAAAACAAAACCTGGTCTGCTCTAGGATCTCTGTGTTTCCTAAGTTTTAGTTTGATTATGTCACATTTAGTGTGACTGAATCCATTTTGGTTTGGTCTGCTGGGGCCTAGTGCATGCACTCAATCCAAAACAATGGCTTCCCATAATTTTGTTTAAAAAATTCTCCCTCATTGGTAAGGTTCTCACTTAGGTGAGAGTGCGACCTTAAGGTCGTAGCACTACTCTCAGTTATCATCATTTTGGGTTTCTGGTCTCAGCATGTCATTTATAGGTTACCGTGTCCTCATGATCATGCATTTCTTTCAGTTCTTGCCATTCCAGTTGAAGAGAGACCATTTGATATTCTAGAGATGGCTTTATGCAGACATGCAAAACTTTTGAGACAATACAGCCCACCAGGGAGACTACTATTATGACTATCAGGAGGATAGTACCAAGAGTTTGGAATATGCTCCTTACCCAGGGTCCCCAATAAGCCAAACTACCTAAAGTCAAACAGATCAAAAGTTAGCTATATGAAGATTCTACTCACTTAACTAAGCAGTCTCTTTGTTAATTCCCTACAACTGAATCTCTATAACCTACATTTGATGTATTTCTATTTCTCCATAGGCTGAAAGTGCTGGCACCCGCACAGATACTTTTCTATTTAGTCAATTCTTGAACTCCTGACCTCAGGTGATCCACCCACCTCGGCCTCCCAAAGTGCTAGGATTACAGGTGTGAGCCACCGCACCCATCTATTTAGTCAATTCTATTATTTAGCATAACTTTCACAAGAGAAATTAAAGTCTGTTGTGTAACCATAGCCTTTATAGTAGACTCTGCAATAGAGAGTATCATGAGGGATATATTTCTAATCATTGTTTCTTTTATTTCAAATCAGAGAAAAAGGAGCTACCGAATGATGACCTTCTAGAAGAGTGAAGGCCTCCTGGAAATGTTCTCTTTAACCCAGGATGTGAGTTAAGAGGGGTGAACAATGTTCTGTTTCTGACTGATCATGAGGCAATGTATGTACCATTAACGTTTCTCACCTACATTGGGTCTTCATCTTTCATCTATTAGGCTGTAAGATTATCCATATATAAGGCTCGCTGCAAAATCCTTTATAAATAAAATTATACCCCATAAGAACACACAACAGAGTCCATTTTCACTATTATTGTTCATAGAGGGATAAGCAAGGGAAAAATATTCAAAGATAAGAGTCTCATGATAGTAGAGAAGTCTTGATACGTGATCTTGGAAAAAGCCCTTCTCATCAAGGAAGCCATCTTTTTCTGGGGAGAAGCTTCCCTAGTTAGCTTTACCTTAAGGGTTCCAATGGGTATACAATTCCAAGAGTGTGGAGGGACCCTTCTCATTTGTGAGGTTATGAACCCAAGGTTCACGTCTTGAAGTTTTGCTGCAGTGTGAATGGCAAGGGCAGTCTCTCTCTAATGGTCTCAGAAAATCTAATGTTTGGGTTCTAGATTGTGAAAGGGTTGATGGTCCTGAGTCAGTGAACCATAAAAAGCTTTCTTTACCTCATAAAAATACACTGTGGCATAATAATCTACTGCTATAATATCAGTCCTCTCGCAAGGGAAATCTGTAATACAGAAAACATGCACTAAAAATGACAATTGAATGAAATTCCTCTGTAAATGTTTAAATGGCCCATCAGATAGCTGTGTGTACCTGAAGATTTGCTTATCTTCCCAGGAATATGGGTTTGACATACCAAACATTGGTCATAAATTATTTTAGCAATTTAGAGTCACCACACCAATATATATTTAATTTGGATCACTTTATCTTTTTTATGATATGTTATAAAATGCAGAACTTTTAATAACAAAAGCTTTAAGGACTCAGGAAGAACAAGGAGGTCATCCTGGTTCTCCATGAGTCCATGTTTAGTTAACAACAGACTTATGTCCTTTTGAATATCAGTTGTTTCTCCAATTTGGGTGCATAACACTGATAATGGATAGGTTATCACAGGTAACTTGACTTAGACCACGGAGTTCATTCAAATTGTATATCTAAACCACTTCAGTATTGGCTGATTTAGCATGAAAATCTGGCAAAATATTTTCTTGATATTCAATTAATTTTTGTTCTACATGGGTCAGCAATTTTACAAACCAGTCTTTTCATTAAAGTTCCAGGAATTCTTACCCAGTCTATATGATATGATTCTAAAGTCATCAGAAACCTGTATTTCATGAGAACTTTTCAAGGTCCTTTCCATTCTTTCATGAACCTCCTAAAAGACACCATATTCTAGGATTTTGGGTGCTTGTGAAGTTTTCAGAAACTTCATCAACATTAAGCAGTTAACTGTAGAAACTATTTTGAATAGTCATAGTTAAAGACACAACTGACAAGGAAATTTAGTTGTTTCTGTGGCTTACAATAATTTAACATAATAACCATTATTATGATTGATAGCATATAGCCAGACATATTAGAATTTTAGAAATCTCATAGAATTCCGGAACATATATTAACATTATTCACTAACATATACCTGAAGAAAGTTAAACATTATTTTTTATTTTAACAATGCTTTCCATGTAATTTAACATGTCAAATAATCCTGTTTACTTCTCTTTTGGATGCTTCTGAGGTCCTCTGTAGCATTCCAAAGTTAGAGATCAGAAAAGACAATTTTAAAGCTGAAACTTGATTTTGGGAAGCCTATCAAATTTAAAGGTTTAAAACACTTGATATTATGAAATAGAATTCAAGGTCACCATAAGTTATTCATTTAGTCAAAATGATGACTCAAAAATTTTAAAAATGCAAAAAAGCCTTTTGCTCACTGACAGAGGGGAGACTTAGCTTCCCTAACCATCGATCTTTTATCTTTCCCTTCTTTTTTTGGTAGTTCATTCAAAAGGCAAACAAAAATATTTCATTATCCTTTAATATTACATGAAGATCTTGTTCGAGAGAGAAAGACAAATTTTACCCTTGCATTAATGTACTATTAATGTCAACCTTAATCTTTAATAAAAACTTACAGACAAATCAATCCAATCTTAACCAGTTTGACCATAAGATGAGATTCTCATAAACCTTTTATAACCCTTTACAAATTTAAGGAGGAAATCAGTGCTCAAAGGAAACCCTGTTGTGCTTTTATTCTAATGTTCAATTTATAGAAAAACTGAGTAACACCTCTTTAAACTTAGCCCTAGTTCTACACAGAATTTTTTACAGGATTAATTTTTCACAAATCTTTCACAATTTGCTCAGTTTTATCCTATCTAATTTAAAACAATCCTTGAACCCTCTAAACTAAGCAAAAATTTACATTCCCATGCCTTCTTATAATCCGTTACTAAAAGTACATTTTATTTTCCTTATACACCTTGCAAGTAAAACTGTTTCTTCAGTAGTTTCAAGTACATGTTAGGTTGTAAACTCTTAGCATCTTTTGGTGAAAAATCTGGTTAGCAAGTGACTTTAAGTATGTACTGAGTTTAGAGCCTAGGACACCAGACAGAAGTACAAATAAGGTCTGACTCTTTCCAGCATAGCTAGGGACATGGCTAATTCCACATGTCCCCAAGCCTTACCTAGCTGTAAACAGGTGAGTTGAACAAGTTGAACAATGTTCAAAAGCCAAAGATGCAGTTTATGACCTTAAAGCATTTAGCAAACCTAGTATCTGACCTGCCTAATTTAGACCAAATGTCTTCATTTTACCAATAATCTTTTTTCTTTCCCAAAGATTACTAAAGCCATGTGAACTAAAAAGTATTACAGTTTTTATTTTTCTAACAAAATATTTAAGTGCCTATTTTTCTTTAAGCCAATTAATTAGAGCTCTTTATATAAATACAACACATACAACACATATATAGCTCCAAAGGCACACAGAAGATCCAGTAGTTTTAGGATTCTTCATTTGCCAGTTTTTAAGCTTCTTAATTGGCTTACTGGCTTTAGGGTGGACTCTTAGAGCAACTGGGCTAGGAAAACATGTATTTTATAGGGCCTAATAAGCAGGCACAGCTGGAAGGCAAAAACAGATCCCCAAAATTAAGGGTTCCATTTTTATATTGCATACTGGATCCCCAAAAAGAGGGAAATGCTATGGGAGAAGATGGTACAATGCTTTTACCATTCATTTTATTGCAAAGCAACCCAAAGTTGATCAGCCCACCTTGTGATTAAGCCATCCCCCATGGGAGTCTTATCTCAGTGTGGGTGGGGACATTTCCATGGCTTCTAGGTAGCCAAGAGCATAGCATGCCTCTTTGATCCAAAGGTGCAAAGAATAAAGTATTCCTTCATAACTATCAATAGCCATCGTTAACAGTGTATTTCCTCCCCCTGGTTATATGCACCAAAGCTCTTTCATTACGCAAAGTAATTTCTGATTCACTCAAAACTCAAAACCATCAGATAACACAATGCAAAACAGAACAGAGCCTTAGAGTTTGAGTGGGATCTATCCACCTTCAATTCCTGGAGTTTCATGAGGAAAACAGGGGTTTTTCCCAAAACAGGATCTATAGTCCCTCCTCTGTTTGATCCTAGGCTAATAGAAGATATCTTAAGTCCTCTCATGTGTGCATTAAGAGTAGTAAAACATAATGGAGAAAAACAATTCAGTCAGATGAGAAGAAAAAATCTTTTTCCCAGGAAAACAAGATTTAAGAAGAGAAAAACATAAAAATCTCTTAAAAATGTATGTATAGCTTGGATATCCACTTTTAATTAAGCTGACTTTTAACCACAGTGCTCTCTGGAAAAAAAAAAAAAAAAAGCCTTTTAAAATTTGTTATTACTCTACTTTAGCCGGGCCAAGTGACCAATATTTCTGGCTTTTAAACTTGACCAAAGCTAATCTCACAGGTGAAAGTGACAAGCCTCAATGAAGGTTATAACTTAACTACGAGTGTATCAGGTATTTTTAAAGAGGTAGTTAGCAATTTTAGAAGATCTAGAATCTCCAAAGGTAGCTCACAGAAAGAAAAATTCAAGACGGTTCATGGAGGGGAAGAGAATCAACAAATGCTAAAGGTCATGCAGATAGCAAACCAGAAAGGATTCATTCTTAATGCCAGAAATTGAACCTGAACCCAGGCCATCACTGTGAAAAGACAGAACCTTAGCTACTAAGCTACAGCACTGGGCAGTTTCCATTGCTCTTCCCAGGAGCCTAGAGCAGTCACTTTTGTGCTTGCAATGGATTTTAATGATCAAGATAATTTATAGAGCTAACTATAAAATGAATCTCCAAATTCCTATTCCCCAGATGGCAGAAACAAACAGAAAGTACCACCACGTGGTTATAATGCCAAGCTCCCAAAAACATAAAACAAGATGGAGACCTCATCCAGTTTTTTGTTTGTTTCAGGGACCTCTACGGCAAAGTTTGTTACTGACCAGCTTGCTGGGCCATCTTGAACAGAAAGCTTTTGTGGTCCTAAGCTCAGGTTCTATCCTAAGGTATCCCACTTCATGATAGAGCAACACAGAAAGACAAATTCATAGCACAAAGCATACCAGATTCGCTATAGCTCAAGACTAGTCTCATGAATCCTTTTTCCCATTAATTAAAACTTTGCAAAAGTTAATGACTTTTACCGTTCCCACATCTGGTTTGCGCAGAGAGACAGCAACAGAGAGAGCAGCATTGCCTGTGGCAGGGTGGGGAAGGAAGAGCTCAGAGAGGCCAGAGAAAGACCCATCCATTTCGACGATACTGAATCAAAAGTTTAGGCGGCCACTTATTGGTTGCAAAGGGATCTTTTCCAGCAGTACCATCAGCTCTCAAGTTTTTCCCTTTGGGGAGAAAAATTTCTCCATGTTCCGTGGTCCTGTACATGCTTAATCCTGCCATCCATTGCTGTCAGCAAAGAGCGCAAGGCAGATTAATGTAAAAAGAATAGGGGTTAACATCCCATAATGTCAAATCCATTTTTTACCAAGAGGGACTTTACTGAGGCAAGGGCTTCTAACCCAATTCCACCCTTTACCAAGGTAAAATGTACACCATTACTTACCCAAAGTCAGCCAATAGATGCTTCAGTCTATTACCTTTGGATTAGGGTAGTAACTAAGCTAAAAATTTAGCAGATTGAATTGTTTTAATCAATTAGTCACTTAGGCTTTTTATTTTCCTTTCGTCAGTCTTTAAATAAAAAGACTAAAATCTTTTTAGAAGCTTCTGCATATCAATAGGCATCCCTAGATGAGATTAATTTGGGATTAATTTGGGATTAATTATTTTCAAATGCACTTTAGTTCATTGTTTTTCTTTTGGAATGTTCCATTTTAAGATACCTTTAGTAAGATTTTGCCATTTCTGTAAGACTTTGCTCCTTTTAGGGCCTAACACTTATGCATGTATAAGCTGGAAGGAACTCAGTTTTTCAGAAATTAAGGATCCCATTTTTCACCTCAGATATTGGCTTTGCTCCCAGTTTCCCTTGATTAAGATAACCTATGACTTTTTCCTACCTAAGCAAGCAAGAAAAATAAAATGAACGGACAGAACACCAAAATCCCCGAGTTTCCAAAAGCTAAATTTTATACCCCCTGCAATATTACCATTTACTCCCAGTTTCTTTCTTCCCCCAGTCAGATGCAAGAGGTTTCTAACTGGATCCAAGCCAGTTAATTACTGGATCAAATCCAATCCGAAAGCCAGTCCAGTTTCTGTTGCGACTTCCAAATCCAATTTGGATCAGAAATTTGTTCAAAGAAACTCAGAAAGCTCAAAACACAAATCTGTGGAGCTCCAAAATCTGAGAGAGAACTTACCATGATCCCCAGCTGCTCTGAGAGATCGATGAACACAAACGGGTCCTGCAGGTACCTCACTTGGTCACTCCGTGCTTCTGTGGGTCGTTAGAAGTTCTACTTCGGATCCCACATCTGATGCCATCTGATAAAAGAAAAAACTTCAGCTGAATTAAATCTAATTAATTGAGCAATGAATGATTTGCAAATTGGGCAACAGGCTTAGAGACTCCAGTGCAACTACATGGTGGAAGAATATTTATGGACAGAAAAAGGAAAGTGACCTACAGAAAACAGAAGTAAGATACAGAAACAGGTGGATTGGTCACAGCTCAGTGTTTGCCTTATTTGAACATGGTTTGAACAATTGTCTGCATTTGATTGGCCAAAACTCAAGGCACAAGTGTAGGCTATGTTCTGTTTACATCTTCACTTATTACAGTTCACAATGTACAGAGAAACCATTATGCTGAACTTAAAGTAGGCAAGGAGGTAGTTTAGGCTAAACTTGATTTAACATGCCCGACTTCCAGGTTCTGTCCCTGAGTATAGTAGAGGCATTTATCCCCAGGCATTCAAAAATGTTACATCTGTCAGAATACTTTTAGGTGTGCAAATACTTCTAACCTTTTATCAACATTTCTCATAAATACTACTTGTGAAAGTACTAGAGCCAACGGAAAGAAAATATAAGAAAGAATAGTACATAAGCTTCTAGAACTATGACTCTAATCCAGGGGTGCAAGGAGAGGAAAATCCTGGCATGACTACTGAGAAATAAGGCTGAAAAGTAGATTAGGTAGTTAGAGGACTCTGAAAAAGATGTTTTCACAAAGAAAATTGATTCTTTGTAACAAGCAGTATACACAGGAAATTTGGGGATAAAGTAAGATTATATGGTTATTTTAACAACAAAAATAAAAACAATTAGAAATTTTAAAAGAAGCCTATATGAAAGTATAAAAGTCATAGTACATATCTGAAGTAAAAAAAAATGAGACAGGATTTTGAGCTATTGATGTTCCTCCAAGAAATATTCTTCTTCAGGAGGAATTTCTTTGGCTTTTGACCCAAAGAAAACATTACCTTCTCCACAGGTCCATTCATACTGCTTCTCTTCAGTGAATAATATTTATACAATGTATGTAATTCCAATTTTTACAATTAATCATCCCCATAACCAAAGAATAGATATATAAAGAACACTTATATTTTACCTTGCATGGTAAAGAGTCAAAAATAGTGTCTATAATAGACCTAGGTAGGTAGGTTGCTATTAGATAGACAGATGGATAGATAATTTGATAGATATTATAGATGATAGATAGATAATAGAGCTGATACGGCTTTAAATCTACTGTTTAAATTTATAAAGGTAACCAACTGAAGAGCTAAAAAAATTAAAATGTGCACCAAGAGGGGAGGGAACAGGATATTATCAAGGTGCTAAACTCTTCATCTTTTACAGTTGATAGCTAACACATAACTGTTTAAAGTTGCTAAAAAAAAAAAAGCCAAGGTATATTATTTGTAGTGATGCAGATTACTAATAGAAATCTAAAAACAAAAGTGTCCACAAGTGTCTTTGAAGTGACATTATGGGAGAGGGAAAGAGAGAGTTTATTTTTATTTCATGCCTATATATGATTCCTGGATTTTTATTACCACTGCTTTTATAATTTAAAAAACCAGTCAAGGTGGGCTCGAAAGTGAAATTTTTTTTCTACATAGACTACACCCAGTTTCCACAGCTGTAAGATGATCCTAGATAACCAATGTGCAGATAATCCATAAGCCTCATTATAGCCAGGAGCTTCCACATTCTCTCCATTGTCACAATAGCTTATTTTCTTATCCACTACCAGCAAAATAGAATTGATTTTTACATCTCTTTTCCCTGGCCACATACTGAGGGGGTTCCAATGAGCAACAAAAAGACCAAAAGGAAAGCTACTGTAGAAAGGGGGAAAAAAAATCTAAAGAGCCCACTGATTCTCTGACTTGAAAATAAGTCCCTGAATAATTGGGAACTGCATCAGAAAAGGAATGACTACCATAATTCAGAGCTCCTTCACACAATTGGAAGGAAGGATTCCTTTATGAATCCAGTAGGAAATTAATATGGCCTATCACATGATGAAGCTAATTTTAAGGTCCGGATTAGGGTAGATATACTACAAAATTTTATTATCATGTCTATTAAAGTTCCAATGGCCAAGTGTGGGTAAAAACTTAGGAGGTGAGCTATGGGTGCACTGTATCATGGGTGGAGCTCAAATGTACTTTCATGACTGAGTCATAAGTGAGATTGGTAAGTGAATTCACAAACACTGTTTTCATCTAAACCTTGGGTAATCGCTGATTCAGATCTTTGTATAGAACAAGTACCAAATGCCTCTCACTCACATTGTATCTAATGGTTTGGTGATCAACTGAGTGGAGTGTTATGGGAAGGAACAAGAACTCCTACCAGCTAACGTTAAGAGTGCAGACAGGGAAAGCATACATTCCCATCTGTTGCCTCTGGCACTCATTAATCACATTGGCATTTAAGAAATGGCAGGGCAGGTGCAAGAGCAAGAGCTAGTGGGAAAGGGAAGTTATAATAAGGAAGAAAAGGAAAGAAGGATTTGTTTTCCTGAACAACCATGTTATGTACTATGAGAAAGGAATGAGGGAAAGTGTGCCTGGCCCAATGATGAATACACCTGTGGCAAGAATATATTTGTATTTGCCAAGTTCCTGCCTCCACCCCAGCACCAGGGGAGACAAGTATATGAAAATTTTAGACAACTGTTTTTATCCCTGCTTCTAGTTATTAATGATTCAGAAATGTTGAGTTCTAATCTCAGAACAACCTACTATGGGATCAAGTACACTTGTTTTTTTTTTTTTTTTTTTTTTTTTAATAATTAAAGAACGGCTATTTATATCTGGCTTTAATTTTCTCTTACTCCAAAAAATCCCCAAATACCAGACTGAGCTGATACCAAGCTCTGGAAAATCTTATTTCAGGCTAGAGTGGTGAAGTTTTTCTGGAATAATTATTGGAGTTTATATAATTTAATACTATAGGGAAAGGAAAATTCTTTTGATGACAAAAGAAACAATAAAGATGAGCACTGAATTTGAAGCCAGGTGGCTTTTGCTTCCTCTCAGTACTACTACTCTCTATAATCATTATCTCTCTGAGTCTGAATTTTCTCATCCAATTTTATATTTTAAAAGATAGACTAGGCAATGTATTTCTTTACATCTCTAAGACTACAAAGTAGTATGTGTGTGTGTGTTTTGACGGATAATTTTTTAAATCCCTTAATGCAGAGAGCTGAAATGTTGGAAGTGTAGGTTAAAAGTGGATTCACCATAGAGTATTTAATGAACAAAATAAAAAGGAGGACATAGCTGAGATTGCAGGTTTAGCTTGCAAAGCTAAGATAGAATCGGTAATTGAATAATGCATACCTATAACTTTCTTAATCCAATTATAGTTTCAACTCTTATATTCCTTTGCAGTAAAGTTTCAACTCTCATATTCCTCTATTCTATGGCAATAGAAAACTGCAGGAAACAACACAAGATAAGATAGTGGTGTTTGAAAAGATATAAAAGGGGGAAAGACCTTGAGTCTCGGTGTCACATTCTTTGGAGGAGAAATTAACACAGTACAGAAAGTAGTGGCAATAAAAACTACCAATAATCTAGGGAAATTTCTTTTGGCAGAGTGAATGATGGGAAAAGTGGAACAGAAAGAGAGAAAGAGAAGCTGTTTCATCTTAATTTATTTATTAGAAAAAAAAGAGCAGAGGATGGAAGATTCTGAGCTCAAAACCTTTGACTAGAAGAATCATTATCTACCCCGGCCCCAACACAACTGCTATAGCTTCATTTCCAATTATTTACAACATGGTACTTTAAAACTTAGACTTTACCTTTGATCCACAAAAATTAGAAAGCATAGCCTCATTTCCAATTAGTTACAACAACACGGTACTTTAAAACTTAGACTTTACCTGTGATCCACAAAAATTAGAAAGCTTCAGTTTAAATTACTCTTTTTTTTTTCCTATTTCTTCTCCTATATTAGTTACATTTTCCTTGCTCCTCTTGCCACATGAACCAAAAAAGATCTTACACCTGTGAGTCTAACATTATTTTGAACAGGTTTAAATTCATTCTAATACAATGTAATGAAATATATATTGTATCTCAAGGAATGTGCTATAGAGAAATGCCACCAAAATCTCTACATTAAGAGAGACCTGAGTTGAATTATCAAAAAGGATGTACTGCAAGTTTTAAAGAATGTATATAGAACTCTCTTCCATATAATAACCTGTGGGATAGATTGGATAGCTTCCGCTGAAAAGATCAATTAGCTTGGGTAGTTTTGGCAGTTAATACTATGCTCTTTTAGGCCATCATTTTTAGAAGTCTTAAAGCTAATAAGTCTTAAGCTATGATTTAAAGCTTTTTAGTTAAATTTCATATGTTTATATGTCACTTCCCCTATATAAGTTCATTGAGAGCAAAGGCCACTTACACTTTCTTGTGTTAAACAAAGAGCTCTGTACCTTGCCATAATAGGTGCTGAACCACTAAATGAGTACTTAGGTTGGCTGACCTGTAAGTTATCTAACAACCCAGAAATTCTGATTTTATCACTCTGGTGATTCCTTAATTTGATGTGTTCACATTATTAGGTCTGAATATCAAACTTGTGAAACGGCTTTAATGAACAAATGAGACTCATTTCTAATAAACATTTTCTACTTATATGTCAAGAGACAATAAGTAGCAAAGGCCTTGAAAATATTTTCTTTTATGTAACATTGTTTACTTTATCAAAATGTTTAACAAACATGCTATTGCAGATATTGTTAATAAAACTGTAAATCCATGTGTTCAAATTAATACATTGTAAGTTAGAAGTGGCAGAATTAACTATTTTTACTAAAATATAAATAATTGAATCCAAGGCAAGGGCATTATAACACAAATGATAAACAAGATGTTTACTCCATTTTCAATGTAAACTAGAAATTTTCAGTTTTTGAGAGCAGTGGGAGCTCTTCAAAACAAAATGTATAGAAATACCTTCAAATAAAATTGATAAATTTATGTCATTAATATGAAAGGATTTCA